CTCACACTCAACTAATATGTTGACTAATAACTCATCCCATCGAATAAATCTAAGTCTAAGTAACTCGTTATCAAAGTTAACAAATACTCATTCAGATACACGAACAGTTATAATAGGTAGTGTACATGGTGGTCAAACCGGCAAAGTATTCGAAGAAATTTTAACATCTTATTTTGAGAATACTGTTGTTGAACTTCTACCTTGGTACATGGAAATTAGTCAAGAAAGATATTTACAATTATGGAAATCATGTCAAAAGGAATTTAAAAATCGTGCGAGCTCTACAAAACTATTCAAATTTTGGGGAATGAAAATTCCACAATAAATTTCTTTTACGCGTATTTGGACCATTGGGTTTAACATAACTTTGTATATAAATATATTTGAACATTCATTTTAAACATGTCACCGATAGAATGAAGGAGGTTTGTTTAAAGTGCTGTAGAAATTTTTATTTTAATTTTTTTCTTAATCATCATATAACTTTTTCCGTAAATATAGTTTATATTTGTAAATACTGTCACATTTTTCGTAAAGATTGTAACCTTTTTATAGTGTATGATATAATGCCTCTTTTTTTATTTTTAAAGAGTAATTAATTCCTTTGTTTAAGATTCAATCTTGAATTCATATGTAATTGTTTTTTTTGGTTAAATTGTAATCATTATTGTTTTTTTAAATAAAATCATGTGTTTATTATGCTTTAAATTCAAATCTTATTTTCTTTTGTAATAGTTGTGTTCGTTGTTTGAGAAAACTTACAATGCCCGAATAAAGCAAGGTATTTTTTTAAAACGTAAATATAAATGTAACAAAGTTATACCTTTTTTTTACCGTGTAATGTTATTTCTGTATTTACCTACAGTACATGTATATTGTATTTCAAAGTTAATAACTAGATATACTGTTGAAAACCGATATGCATGGTGGACAGATTTTGTATCAGTATTGAGATGTTATCAGATTTGAAAACATTATTAAATTATTAGATTTATATAACGGAACGGACTTGGTAAATTAATTTTTTATCAGATTTGACAGATTGTCGATTTTAAGAGGATCGATTTTGGAAGGTTCAACGGTGTAAAGCCCTTCTAAATAAGGAATTATCAATTTTTTTTTTTATACGAAACTCTTCACATGGCATTCTAGAAAGAATACTCGTGCCCCGACTCTTAGCTCCTCTTGTTGACAACGGTAAACTTTAGGATCTATCATTATAAGGAAATGTTCAAATAGAATGAGACATAAACCTTAATATTTTTGCTGACATGATTATTCTTTAAGTGTATTTTGGCGGGATCATATAGTAAAAATCAAACCCCTGCATTTAAAAAGACTTTACACTTATAAAAAATATATACTTGTATATATATGGGTTGTTGCACAGCAAAACCATGCTTAGAACATATAAAATATATATACTCCCTCTAAGCATGGTTTTGCTATGCAACAACCCATATAATACTTATGCGGGAATAAAAAATAAATTTAAAAAGATTTTACATAGAGATAGTACTTGCATTCGGAGAAGGAACTCACGTACATACGTACGTACGTACATTTTTGAAGTGAAAGTGACTTCATTTAGCAGATGTAAATCATATCAGATATAGAATTTTAAATTATATGACGCCAAAATAGTTCTCTAAAACACTTTAAAAAGCTTTGTTTTACCTATTTGAGAAGTTATTTGTAGAGTGTCCGGAATTCTGCGGTGCATAAATCAGCTCATTCTAAAAATATTTTTGCCATAACGATAATGTAGATCATGTATTATTTAAATGCAAAAATACAGTAGAATCTGTGCCGGTTTATGATCACGTGATGAGATCATGAGAAATTGATTGAATCGATGATCCTCAATAATATAATACTTGAGCGAAGATATCTTAGTAACTACCTATCTAAAATCGATGAAATTTTTTTATTTAAATTATATGAATCCATAAAAAAAATTTCATCAATTTTAGACAGATATTTATCGAGTTATCCTTGTTCAAATTTTTGTAAAAGGTCGTCTTGATAGTTGTCTAAACATTCTTTGAACTTTGAACGAGGATAACTCAATAACTATATATTAAAAATCGATGAAATTTTTTATTTTAATTCTATGAATTCATATAGTTTAAATAAATAAAATTTTATTGATTTTAGATAGGTAGTTACTAAGATATCGTCGCTCAAAAACATACCTAAGTTAACATAGTATTATTATATTGTTGAGAATCATCTATTTCATCTAATCAGAAAGGAGTAACTGTATCAGTTCAAATTCTATTTTTGCTATTTAAATGTGATAAGTATTTACATGTAGTGCTCCTAGGTCCGGTTCGAAGTTTGCAAACTAGTTCGAGTCCGAATATATTTATATTTATATTTATATATATATATATAATATATATATATATATATATATATATATATATATTACTTACA